TCTTATTTGTTCGCAGCTCACACGTCAAATCCGCACTGAACAAGTGGCCGAAGGACTAATAGATGTCCGTGGAGGCAGGAAGAACCACTCGAACGCTCGAGTTTTACTCTCAGTCCCGCGCTACGCTGACGCAATTCTAAGCGACACCGATGATAGCGATGTTGATGGTGGTCGATTATCCGTCGTTGTTCGGAGTAAAGCAGCTTGGAGAAAGCAACTTGGAGAATGGCAAGCGGAAATGCACGAGTTGGATCAAGTTTCTGACAGTCGAGATACGGACATTGACCAGCCGCTGCCTGGCATTCCGACACCAAATCGCCCTCGAGCTCAGCGCTCTTGGCTCCCTTCGACGCTTGCTTCGCTTTTTGGTGGTGTTGTTTCGAAGCCCATCGTGCTCGGACGTCGTACAAGGGTGGTTTCGGAGGAAGCATTGTATATGGAGCTTCTTGAGGCAGACAGAAGTGATGAAGAGCCTGACGCCGGTGCTCAGGAGGGTTCAGGTGACGACTTTATGCCGTAGAATAGCCAGATCTAAATTGGGAAATTGCCCTTAACTTGACGCTTAATAAGACTAATCTTAATAACCCTTAACTTAAGCTAAGGTCTTAATTTTGGGAGCGAGCCTTATCTTCTTCAGTTGAGCCTTTGCTGGCCAGACATTCCATCAAATAAAATACTGTGTTGCACAACAGTAGTGTGATTGGGTGTGGGAGCTGAGCCCAGGGCGCAAAGCCGGCGGGGTGCGGATGACCCCGCAGACTCTGCTCTACTGCTGTACAGCAATCAAAATCAAACAGGCTGTGGGTGGGTGGGTGAGCGCAGAAATGGGAATTTGTTGAGGATGAGATCGCCGGCAGGTGGGTGGAAGGAGAGAGTGAGCTCACAGCCACCCCCTGCTCTTCGGCTCTCTCCCTCACAAGATGATGCATTGATCTCCCTCTCTCACTCAATGCATCCATCTTCTTCAGTTGAGCCTTTGCTGGCCAGACATTCCATCAAATAAAATACTGTGTTGCACAACAGTAGTGTGATTGGGTGTGGGAGCTGAGCCCAGGGCGCAAAGCCGGCGGGGTGCGGATGACCCCAAAATGTGCTGCCCAGCCAGAACAACGCCGGCTCACCCAAAGAAAGCAGCACAACTTGTGTGTCAGTAAAGTATGCACAATATGCTCGCCGGAAAATGTGCAGGCTATGCACAGTACACAATATGCGCATGTGCAGGCTATGCACCGTCAAAAATGCACGATAGGCAGTCGAATTATCCATGATATGCACGCCGGCAAATGTGCAGGTTATGCACCGTCAAAATATGCATGATATGCAGTCGAGATATGCACGATATGCACCCAGGAAACAACGCAGGATATGCGCAGCGCATGATATGCGCAATTCTTGGCTAATGAACGTCAAAGTATGTACAATATGCACGCCGGAAAATGTGCAGGATATGCACAGTGCACAAGATGCACAGATGCAGGCTATGCATTGTCAAAAATGCATGATATACACCGCAGGAAAACGCAGGATATGCGCAATTCTAGGCTAATCAAAGTCGAAATAGGCGAAATATGCAAGCCGAAAAATGTGCAGGCTACGCCCAGTGCATGAAATGAGCATGTGCAGGCAATGCACGGTCAAATATGGATGATATTCAGCCGAAATATGGACGATATGCCTGCCGGAAAATGTGTAGGCTATGCACGGCGCACGATATGCGTGGGTGCAGGCTATGCACGTCAGAGAATGCGCAGGATGTGCACAGTGCACAATATGCGTGGGTGCAGGCAACGAATAGGCGTAAGTGCATGCTATCCACTGCCGAAAAGCACGATATGCACAGTAGAAAATACACAGGATATGCGCAAGTGCAGGCTATGCACTGTCTAAAGCACGATATGCACAGGAGAAAACAGTGCACAATATGCGCAAGTGCAGGCTATTGAAAAGCACGATATGCACGGCAGGAAATATGCAGGCTATGCACCATCGAAATGCACAATATGCGTGCCAGAAATATGCAGGATATGCGCAGCGCAAGGTATGCGCAGGTGCAGCCTATGCACCATCAAGAATGCACGATATGCATCCCAGAGAATACGCAGAATGTGCGCAAGTGCAGGCTATGCACAGCCGAAAATGCAAGATAGGAACCACAGGAAAGGCGCAGGATATGCGCAGGGCAGGATATGCGCGATGCAGGCTATGCACAGTAGAAAATGCATGATATGCACAGTAGAAAATATGCAGGATATGCGCAGGTGCAGGCTAAGCACAGTCGAAAATGTACAACATGCACAACATGCACAATATGCACGCCCACGAAATACGCAGAATATGCACAATCAAAGAGTGCACAATATGCACGCCAGAAACGACGCAGAATATGCGCAGCGCACAATATGCGCAAGTGCAGGCTATGCACGGTCAAAAAATGCATGATATGCACGCCCAAAAATATGCAGAATATGCGCAGTGCACAATACACAATATGCATGCCAGAAAGGACGCAGAATATGCGCAGTGCACGATATGCGCATGTGCAGGCTATGCACGGTTGAAAATGCACGCTATGCACGCCAGAAAGGACGCAGAATATGCGCAGCACAAGATATGCACATGTGCAGCCTATGTACACTCAAAATGCACGATATGCACACCAAAAATATGCAGACTATGCGCAGCGCACAATATGCACCATCAAAAAATGCACGACATGCACAACGTGCACAATATGCATGCCCAAAAATACAGACTCTGCGCAGCACAAGATATGCGCAAGTGCAGGCTATGCAAAGTCGAAAATGCATGATATGCATGCCAGAAAATATGCAGGATAGGCGCAGGTGCAGGCTATGCATGGTCAAAAAGTGCATGATATGCACTACAGGAAATCTGCAGAATATGCGCAGCGCACAATATGAGCCAGTGCAGGCTATGCACACTCAAAATGCACGGTATGCACACCCAAAATACGCAGACTTTGCGCAGCGCACGGTATGCACCATCAAAAATGCGCGATATGCACAGTAAAACACACACAGACTATGCACAGCGCACAATATGCACCATCAAAAATGCGCGATATGCACAGTAAAACACACGCAGAACATGTGCAGCGCACGATAGGCGCAGGTGCAGGGGATTCACCATCAAAATGCACAATATGGCCAGTGGAAAATACGCAGAATATACGCAGTGCACAATATGCACAGTCAAAAATGCACGATATGCACTGCAGGAAAGGTGCAGAATATGCGCAGCGCACGATATGCGCAAGTGCAGGCTTTGCACGGTCAAAAAATGCACAATATGCATGACAGGGAGGGCGCAGAATATGCCCAGCGCACAGTAGGCGCAAGTGCAAGCTATGCACGGTCGAAAAATGCACGATATGCACTACAGGAAAGGCGCAGAATATGCGCAGCGCACAATATGCGCAAGTGCAGGCTATGCACAATTGAAAAATGCACGATATGCACGCCAGAAAGGACGCAGAACATGCGCAGTGCACAATATGTGCAAGTGCAGGCCATGCACGGTCCCAAGATGCACGATATGCACGCCCAAAAATACGCAGAATATGCGCAGCGCACGATATGCGCAAGTGCAGGCCATGCACGGTCAAAAATGCACAACATGCACTAAGGAAGGGCACAGGATATGCGCAGCGCACGATATGCGCAAGTGCAGGCTATGCACGATTGAAAAATGCACAATATGCACTACAGGAAAGGCGCAGAATATGCGCAAGTGCAGGATATGCGCAAGTGCAGGCTATGCACGGTCGAAAAATGCACGATATGCACGACAGGGAGGGCGCAGAATATGCGCAGCGCACGATATGCGCAAGTGCAGGCCATGCACGGTCGAAAATGCACAACATGCATGACAGGGAGGGCGCAGAATATGCACAGCGCACGATATGCGCAAGTGCAGGCTATGCACGGTCGAAAGATGCACGATATGCACGACAGGGAGGGCGCAGAATATGCGCAGCGCGCGATATGCGCAAGTGCAGGCTATGCACAATTGAAAAATGCACGATATGCACGCCAGAAAGGACGCAGAACATGCGCAGTGCACAATATGTGCAAGTGCAGGCCATGCACGGTCCCAAGATGCACGATATGCACGCCCAAAAATACGCAGAATATGCGCAGCGCACGATATGCGCAAGTGCAGGCCATGCACGGTCAAAAATGCACAACATGCACTAAGGAAGGGCGCAGAATATGCGCAGCGCACGATATGCGCAAGTGCAGGCCATGCACGGTCGAAAATGCACAACATGCACTAAGGAAGGGCGCAGGATATGCGCAGCGCACGATATGCGCAAGTGCAGGCTATGCACGATTGAAAAATGCACAATATGCACTACAGGGAGGGCGCAGAATATGCGCAGCGCACGATATGCGCAAGTGCAGGCTATGCACGGTCAAAAAATGCACAATATGCATGACAGGGAGGGCGCAGAATATGCACAGCGCACGATATGCGCAAGTGCAGGCTATGCACGGTCGAAAGATGCACGATATGCACGACAGGGAGGGCGCAGAATATGCGCAGCGCACGATAGGCGCAAGTGCAGGCTATGCACGGTCGAAAAATGCACGATATGCACGACAGGGAGGGCGCAGAATATGCGCAGCGCACGATATGCGCAAGTGCAGGCTATGCACAGTCGAAAAATGCACGATATGCATAAATATTGACGCTATGTGGAATCGAGCAGCGCCTGGCCCAGGAAAACACAATCCAGAATGACGAGTCGCCGTGGAATACCCCTGCAACGTTGTCAGACAATGCAAGGAACCCAAAAGACCGAAAATATGCCATAATCTCGCACTGGGTGCGATTAAATCGCAGGAAACGAGCACCCAATAGGAATGGGAGTGAAAAGCGAATAAGCGCCGGAATTCAAGCGAAAAACCTGGCTCCAGTCCGCAGGCTGCAGGGGGGAGACTGTTGCTCGTCCAGAATGTGGGCTGACCGTGAAATAACCCTGCAGCGTAGTCAGACAAGTGAAGGAGCCCCAAAGATCGAAAATATGCGATAATATCGCTCTGGGTGCGATTAAATCGCAGGATTTGAGCGCCCAATGAGAGAGGGAGGGAAACCCGAATAAGCGTGCATCTGAAGCGAAGAGGCATTCGCAGCATGCAGGGTATGGGGCAGGGGATTTTGGAGCGAATGGGCGGCCAGAATTCGAAGGAATGGACTGGGATTACTGTCTGGAAGATCAGGGGGGGTCGGCAGCTCGAAATGGGCAGCAAGGGGAGCGTTTTGAAGGCTGGGGGATGTAGATGGGGTCGTTCTAATGCCAGGATCGAGTCGACGAGCAGTGTATATGTCGAGCTGTAACTGTGAAAAGAGAGGGAAATACTCAGCTTCATGGATGGAATTGGGGTGTACCCCAGAGACACTCTTATATAGCATCCAAATTCGAGCTTGAGATGGAATCCGTGGTGTACAGAGATTTATGCAGATAGTGTCGAGTTCTGGGTGATAGTCAGTCATATAGAAGCATTAACGAGTGTGTAATAAGAGCGCAGAAATGGGAATTTGTTGAGGATGAGATCGCCGGCAGGTGGGTGGAAGGAGAGAGTGAGCTCACAGCCACCCCCTGCTCTTCGGCTCTCTCCCTCACAAGATGATGCATTGATCTCCCTCTCTCACTCAATGCATCCAATAATACCCTTATCTACAACACTGACTGGGCATATCCTGCGCCTTTCCTTAGTGCATATCGTGCATTTTTCAACTGTGCATAGCCTGCACTTGCGCATATCGTGCGCTGCGCATATTCTGCGTCCTTTCTGCCGTGCATATCGTGCATTTTCGACTGTGCATAGCCTGCACTTGCGCTCATTGTGCGCTGCGCATATTCTGCGTATTTTGGGCATGCATATCGTTCATTTTTCTACTGTGCATAGCCTGCACTTGCGGTGTATACTCTGCGTATTTTCCTACTGGGCATACTGTGCATTTTCCATTGTGTATAGCCTGCATCTGCGCCTATCATGCGCTGGGCACATTCTACGCCTCTCCTAGGTGCATATCATGCTTTTTCTCGACTGTGCATATCCTGCACTGCGCATATTGTGCGCTGCGCATATCCTGCGTATTTTTGGGTGTGCATATCGTGCATGTTTTGAGTCTGCATAGCTTGCACTTGCGCATATCGTGTGCTGCGCATATCCTGCATATTTCGGGCGTGCATATCGTGCATGTCGTGCATTTCGTGCAATTTTCAACTGTGCATAGCCTGCCCTTGAGCATAGAGTGCGCTGCGATTATTCTGCGTCCTTTCTGGCGTACATATTGTGCACTCTTCATTCGTCCATATTCTGCGTATATTTTGGGCATGCATATCGTGCATTTTGAGTGTTCATAGGCTTCACATGCGCATATCATGTGCTGCGCATATTCTGCGTCTTTTCTGGCGTGCATATCGTGCATCTTTCGACCATGCATAGCCTGCACTTGCACATATTGTGCGCTGCGCATATTCTGCGCCCTTCCTGTGGTGCATATCATGCATTTTCGACTGTGCATAGCCTGCACTTGCGCATATTCTGCGTCTTTTCTACTGGGCAATATCCTGCGTATTTTCAGTGGGCATATTGTGCATTTTGATGGTGCATAGCCTGCACCTGCGCATATCCTGCATATTTTCGGCGCGCATATCATGCATTTTTAATGGTGCATAACTTGCACATGCACCATTTGTGTGCTGCGCATGTCCTGCGCATTCCTGGCATGCATATCATGCATTTTCGACTATGCATAGCCCGCACTTGCGCATATTCTGCGTATTTTCTACTGGGCATATTGTGCATTTTTGATGGTGAATCCCCTGCACCTGCGCCCATTGTGCGCTGCGCATATTTTGCGTGTGTTCCACTGTGCATATCGTGCATTTTTGATGGTGCATAGCCTGCACCTGCGCATATCCTGCGTATTTTCGGCGTGCATTTCATGCATTTTGATGGTGCATAGCTTGCACATGCCCCATTTGTGCGCTGCGCATATCCTGCGCCTTTTCTCAGTGCACATCATACAATTTTGACTGTGCATAGCCTGCACTTGCGCATACCTTGCGCTGCGCATATCCTGCATATTTCTGCGTGCATATTGTGCATTTTCAACGGTGTATAGCCTACACCTGCGCATATCCTGCATATTTCTTGTGGTGCATATCGCGCTTTTTCAATAGCCTGCACTTGCGCATATTCTGCACTGTTTTCTCCTGTGCATATCATGCTTTTTGACAGTGCATAGCCTGCACTAGCGCATATGCTGTGCATTTTCTCCTATGCATATTGTGCTTTTTGGCAGTGGATAGTATGCACCTACGCCTATTTGTTACCTGCACCCGCGCATATCGTGCACTGTGCACATCCTGCGCATTTTCTGGTGTGCATAGCCTGCACCCATGCATATCGTGCGCCATGCATGACCTGCACATTTTCCGGTGTGCATATCATGGATAATTCGACTGCCTATCGTGCATTTTTGACGGTGCATAGCCTGCACATGCGCATATTGTGTACTGTGCATAGCCTGCACATTTTCCGGCGTGCATATCGTGCATACTTTACTGACATACAAGCTGTGCTGCTTTCTTTTGGGTGAGCCGGCGTTGTTCTGGCTGGGCAGCACATTTTGGGGTCATCCGCACCCCGCCGGCTTTGCGCCCTGGGCTCAGCTCCCACACCCAATCACACTACTGTTGTGCAACACAGTATTTTATCTGATGGATTGTCTGGCCAGCAAAGGCTCAACTGAAGAAGATGTCTCATCGCGTTCCGAAGCTCCGCAGCGCAACGCTAATTGAGTCGATGATGGGCCGCCTCTTGTCTCTCCGTCACCAAAAGCCCCGCATTTGTCCACGGAAGCATCAGCGAGGCCAGCCTGAGCAGTAGCGCTGTGCATAGAGACAGTGGACAGTCAGGCTATCTGGCGCGTCTGGGTGCTCTGAGTGCCAAGGTGTCAGCGGCCAATCGCAAGAGCCAATTGTTCCCCACTTTTGCCGCCAAATCAGGACTGGACATTCTCGCTGCAGGCCCAACAGAATCGCGGCGCGCGATGAATGTGCTGTCAATGCGTCCGTTCGGAATCGAAACTGTACGGAGCACGTCTCAGGACTCGACATTGGCACCACCCTCACAAGGAGGACTTGAGGGCGACTCCACCCCTCGTGCACATCTACGCACAAAGGTGGCAGACATTCGGGGCCCGTTCAGCGATCAACACCTGACGGCTGAAGACCTGGATGAGATTGAGCAAGACCCTGATGCGGATTCACCGGAAGAGGTTCGGGGCCCCGTGGAGGAGATTGAGGAGGACCGTGATGCCAGCTCAGCAGTGCCACCAAGAGCTACGAGCATCGAGCCAGACATGGATACACGTGACAGCGACCATGACAAAAGCTCTGTAGACGACAGCAACCGTGATGGAACCTTTCGGACTCAGAGGGAGAAGCGGCGAGCAGCCGCTTTGCTCAGGGCCAGAGACAACGAGAAGATGACAGCAATGGGGATCTCTCCCTGGCGTGGGGACATGGAGAAAGACGAGAGTGACGAGAGCAACGAGAGCGACGAAACAAGCAGTCGTTGTGCTGCGGCTACAAGCACTTGTCGTGCTGCGGCTACAAGTACCAGGCAAGCACCGGCTCCCACCAAAGCGCCAGCTTCCACCGGCGACAACAGGGAAGTCAGCCTCACCAGTCAAGGAGGACGCCCGACTACGGCGTACCGCCAGAGGATAGCCGCCATCCAAAGAGAGATGCTGGACGTCTCAGTGGAGCATCGAGTGACAATGGGCCGGGTGCTCGCAGATCTGGATAACGAGCAGCACGGCAGAAGTGCAAAGGAGAGTATCTGGAACAAGTTCCAGACGTGGTACTCACACGAGCACAGAGGAGAGAAGCCACGGGAAAGTAAGTCGATCTTTAAATGCGTAACAGGAGTCCGGCTTACCGTTGGGGCAGTGCATGTCAGTCAGTGGAACAAATTGGTCAGCCAGGCATTCCAAGATCGCCTAGCTGAGCTGGATGACACACTGCATGAGGACGCTACAGTGCCTGTAGGGACTTCTCTTGACACGTGATTTGGGTACAAAGAAATTTTTGTGAATTATTTTCTTTTTTCTGAGCCAGGAAACTGGCGAAAAGAATGCGTTTCAACACAAGACCTCATTTTTTCCCACGGTGTTTCACTTTTTCGGCTGGTCGGACCAAAAATTTGTTTCATATCTCTTGGACTTTCGCGTATCATACATCCGTATTCACCCGCTTTGTAATTACTAACGTGCGGTTTACACCAAATGCCCCAAAAGTCGAAACAGAGTGCTGCTGCAAGCGTTCAAATCAGGCTGTTGACCCATTATCTATTGCTAATTAGAATTTAGGCTGGGTTTGAACATTCAACAGGCTGTCTATGCAGTTAAGAAATACACCTCTCATCGCCGGATACCCGCCACAGTGCTTGAGGATCCTGAAATTATTCGGCGGGCGGATGTGGCGGTGTCTAACCCTACCCAAAAAGGGAACTGATCCGATCATTAGGGTCAGGTTTCACTTTTCTGAGCGGAAAAAGTCCAACTTCAAGCTCATTGTTAATGGAGCACAACCTAGTTAGATAGCATCCAATAGATACCAAATACATGCTCCAAGTGTCCGAAAGTGTTTTCAAGAAAATGTAGTTAGCTTTCCAAATCCGGATGACATTCCCAGCCAGCTCGGCTAAGAGATGTCATTGTTGGCACTGTAGGGTGCTGGAACAACATTTTGCAGAGGTGGTACAATGGCACGCACAGCATTGCCAGGACCAGTTGGACGAAGACAGGAAATCCGGACAACTTGCGACAATGGTGAGGAATGCAGCCAAATTGTTGTCACGATTGGTAAGTCCCTGGATTTCAGGCGGACTGGATACTGCTAATAAGTGCGTAGGGCACAAAGATATACCACAAATCCGGGGTACATGTCTTTGGTGTTATCGTTGATGAGGAAGGGCAACAGAGCTGCACTTGGGCCCGGTCACCTCAGTTTGCAGAGATGGTGCAAGCCTACCCGTACGCTGTGCACAAACAACTGCAAGACTACAAGACCATGTACCGGTACGTGTCTCGTCCTCGATAAAGTACCTTCGCTGCTCAGCGCCATCACAGAAACATTGAGCTACAAGAGCACTCCTCTCGCGTAGACCCATTGCTGGTGGCACAACCTGCGACCGCGCCGATGCAAGGTGCACAAGCCAGTGGTCCAAGACCGCAAGGACAAAGTAGCGAGCAACGGCTCGTGACAGATGGAGGGAGAAGCTATGCCGACAAGAGGAGCTTTGAACGGGCGTGAGTCGGTGAACTGCTGCGGAGAAGCCTGGGTACAATTCCTGGTCTTTCTGACAACAAGACGCGCTCACCAAAGGTTTCTCTTTGCATTAGAGTCCACGGGGTCCATAGTTCTGAAGAGGATGACTTGGGACTTGACTGCCCTGTGTCGGAAGCACCAGGTCTGGCTGGTGAATTGGCCGCAGGGCTTTTCTCTGCCGCATTCGAATTGGA